AATTTCGCTTCAGGTTCGTCTAGCGAACCCTGCAAATTTTACAAATTCCAGGTTCTGCCTATTCAATAAAAAACACAATAACAAAGCAATTTTTTCCATACAATCATTGCTATTCAAGTATAAAATGAGTATCAAATAACAACACCAACCAAGCCACATTTTTTCAAGCAAACGTTCAAAGTTCATAAACTTCATTCAAATCAAATTCAACTTTAACCTAAGCAAGTTCAGCTCTCAATTTTTTTTTATAAAAGTTCAATACCTAACATGCAAAGCAATGTAAATCAATAATCAAGAACATGCAAACAGATTCACAAAGCCTAGAAGAAAGCTTCTGACATTTGCTCACATCAACCCTAAAATATCTTTTATAGAAAAAAATAAGGAATGAATAAAGAAATCTCAAACCTGAAATGTATTGAAAGGATAGAATGGAATTTGCACTAAAACTTGGAAAAAAACTTCACTTGCACAAATACAATGGAGAGAGCAGATAAATGTGTTGGTGTGTTTTTGGAAAGTAAAGAGACAAGAGATAAAAAAAGGGAAAGACAAAAAGGGAAATGGGGGAAAGTTTACCCAATAAAATCTGCAAACAGGTCTTTGGCCCACACAGTTTAGTCTCACCTCTGCGCTACTACCTACTATAGCAGCCTGCACCGAATGCCTTGTCCCCCACCACTATCTGTACCAGGATGCTTGTCCATGAAGAATGGAGGATAAAAAGAGAATATGTTTATTTGAATATGGGTTGAACCTTATTTGCATAAAAAAAACACATGATCTAAGGCCTACTACCTTTCATATCCACACTTATGCTTATAAAAGCTGAACTTAAGAATTGGAAAAAGATTCCACACGCATTCACCAAGAAGATAGTTTTTAGTATTGTTTTAGTTTATTTCAGTGTGAGGTTGAGATAAAAGAGAGTTCTTCTTCTCATCCAATCCTGTAGTCACTGCTGAGAGCTAGCGCGACTAGAGTTTTCACTTGATGTTTATCCAACATAGGAGATCTCTAAGTTACTTCTACGTTGTCATTTTTTTACATCTATTGTTAAGTATATTTCCTAGTAGTCTCAGTTTAGTAGTTTGTACTTAGCTCACCATGAGAAAAACACTTATTTGTTGAGCAATGTGAAGTTAATATAATGTTTCCTTTATGTTAAAATTATGTGTTGTTAGTTGTCTTATTTTGCTATGCATTTTTATGCTATAAACCTAACTTTTTGAATGATCAACTTAGAAAAAAGGTAAAAGCTTTTTATTGTGAGAAATCCAACAACAAGTGGATTTCAAACAAAAGTGGTTAAATAAGTAGGATAGAGATATTAACTTAATTAAATTGCTTAGGGATAAGAGGCTAAGACCATAAAGAACTCTCAGAATATAAATCAGACGTATTTTAGGGTTATAAGTGAGACTTAGAGATTTGTTCCCTTGCCCTTCTAATGCATGTTTTGATGTTGTAGAGATACACATATAGATCATGTTCTGATCTTTTGAGACACGGCACATCTCATCATAGACACATTTTGGTCACTTACATATTAATGGATCATAGTTGAACATTCACTCTCTTGATTTAATTAAACCTATATTTATTTCATTTAGTTCTGTGTTGTAAACAAAATGTATGTGAGTGCAAGATTCCTTTTTACTATGTTTTAATGATGTCAAAACTAGAATATTAAGTACTTGTGTATTTTGGACAGTTTCACCTTGTCTAAGCCATGCATTCATCTCTTGCAAACGTGCATAAAGATCCTTATACATGTATTAGACACATAGGATCATACATAATGTCAAAAATGGGTTTTTGGATTATTTTTAGAGTCATTGGTCGACTTAAAGGTCATAGGTCGACTCATAAAGGTCATAGGTCGACTCACACTGAAGAGAAAAGTTTTTGAAACTTTCTGCCTTGCATGCACCTACCTTGGGTCAACATATGAGCACCTATAAGTCGACTCATGCTGTAAAGAAAATCTTTAAAAAAATTGTCTTGCATGCGCCTACCCTGTAGGTCGACACATGGGCCAAGTTTTATGCAGTTTTAGCCACTGCCATGTTCGGGTCGACTCATAGATGCTAGAGGTCGACCTCTCGCGCGTGTTTAACCATTTTTCTATGTCTTTGTGTTCTCAAACTCCTTTTTTCTTTACTCATTCATGTACATGCATATATACTCATATGCATCACTTTGAAAAAGAAAAAAAAAAAGAAAATTGAAAGAAACATTGTCTTGCTCTTCATCTTCACTCTCACAATTGCATTCATCAATAATCATACATAATCATCTTTATTGATTGTGCTTAGTCAAGAGTGATAATGTCCAAATGTAGGATTTGTAAACCAAGTTTGACTAGAGATTCAGTGAGATTTTATTCGATAAAACCATTGGGGATTTTTGTACAAGTCTTCGCATCACAAATTCAGCCGAGTGAAAGTCTTAAAGAACGGTGGGTTCGGTCAAGGGAGTAACGGTAACCGGAGGATTGTTTTGGAAGATTTGGGGTCAAACATCTTTTGATCGAAATCAGCCAAGTGAAAGACTTGAAGAACGAAAGGTTCGACCAAGTGAGTAACAGTAACCGGAGGTTTGTTCGAAATGTTTGATGCACTTGATTCAGTTGGAATCAAGGGGACATAAGTGGTTAGATTCAACCTCAACAATTGGGTTAGATTGTTGGTTAGCTAGAACTTCTCTTGTACTGAATATTGCACACAAATTTTATAGATATCTCAATTCTAATTTAAATTTGTGGACAGACGTACTCGAAGTGAGGACAAAAGGGGAACTTCCTAAACAAATTGGGTTTCTCTACAACATTTTGGTCACTTACATATCTCAATTGTCCTCTTCAAGACATATACTCATCATATACACATTTTGGTAACTTATATTGTTGAAGTTTGTGTGAAATTAATTGTTAGCAACAATCTGATTGAATTTGTAGTGTTTCAAACAGTTGTGGAAAACCATTGCAATAACTTTGATTGCAAGTGAGAAAAATTCTGCACTACAAATTCAAAGGAAATTTGACTTGGAGTGTTTCGCACGCCAAGTGTTTGATATATTGATAACACACAAACTGTTTGATATATTGTCAATTCAAATTTTATCCTCAATTAAGCATTGGAAACTGGTTCACCTTAAGTGACTTTTATTTGAATAATTGATTGGGAATCTTAGTGATTCTACTCTCTCATCAAGATCATTCCATTCAGTTTCACAGATCCGATCTTTCCAATAAAGGTTCAGATAGACGGGTTTTGATCCGAGGCCGCTTTTGCATATATTAGAACAAAAATTTTAAAAGTGCAAATTATTAAAAATAAGTGATCTATTCAACCCCCTTTCTAAATCAGTGCCATCGTCTAACAATCTAAGCTTGTCAACAACTATCATTTTGTTACTTTTCTCATGTTAGTTTTAAACAATAATACTTACAAAAAAATTCAATTTAAACCTCTTTCACTCTCTGTGCATACGATATCCTTACTAATATTACTTGTTGCAATTAAAACATGTATATTTGCACGTGACACTATAATCGTTTTTAAGCACTACAATACTATATCTTTCTTAATGATGACATCAAAGATGTTTTGTCTTGGGAGCAATATCCTTGCAATTAAGTAGTGCATAATACAATTTTTTGCCTTCATATAGCTGAAGGTGCAATAAACGCACAAAAGAGAGGTTTAAATTAAGTTTCTAGATTTAAAAACTTTTTGCCTTCATACATTATAATATATTCTTTTCACTCTATCCTTTCTATTTTTCAAATTTCTCCCCTCCCTTCTTATATTTTAAAACGTGCTTGATATTTAAAAAAACAAACAATATAATATTTGTCTTATTATTTTCTAGAAGTTTTTTAAAATATCAAACACTTTAAAATCTTTTTTGGAAGTTGGTTTTTTGAGATTTTGGATGATTGAGTTTATATTTTAAAATGTTTTTGATATTTTAAAAATATATATAATCCATTAACATATAAAAGCATATTGTTTTCTTTTAAAAATTAAGATATCAAAGACATTTCAAGATATAAACGTAACCTGTCAAAAAATTTCCCTTAAAAAAGAAAGGAAGAGAAGAACTTTGAAAAAAGTGAAAGAATATAACTTACAGAATTAAACAATTTTGATTTGTTTATATTCATAAGGCAAAATCTCTCTAATTTTGGAGAATTCAGAATTTATATTGGAGGAAAGTTTTGAAGGACTTATATAAATTTTTCAAATAAATTTTATATTGTTATAATATTATGAAAATTAAAAATACAGTAATGATAGTAATATTTTATACAAAAACACAATTTTAAAAAATGTTGCTGAGATTTTCTTTTCTTTATTTTACAAATTCTCAACCCAAAAGTTTTGCTCTTCCTCAAAACCCTCCAAACTCAAGAAACCTTAATCAAAAGAAAATAAGGGGTACGAAATTTGACACCCCATGTAGTCCTAGAAGCAACATCATCTTGATGGAGCACTTTTCATAGCAAACATGGTGCAAGGATATGTTATAGACAATGTTGGCACTACGCAATGGTGCTTTAGCGCCACTATATCAGCTATTTGACGACACGTTTTACTAAATAGCATAGTATATGACAACAACAGTTTGTCTAAATTCTGCTACACTACCACGATATAGCGCCGCTATAGCTGTTATTTAACAACACTACGTATAGAGAAGCAGGATCTAAGCAGGTTAGATGCTGAGATGGAGCATTGACAGCTGAATTAATTTTCTTTCCAATTCCTTACTGTAACTATAGAGAAACAAGCTAAATACTCAACATAAAGGAGGCAAGGATCAGCCGAAAAGGGTGGACCAAAAAATACTCTACATATAAGAGACATCTCCTTCTAATAGGTTGCCCTTTCAGAATCATTCAAAACTAGGATGTGCTCCATACTGCATTATAAAGGAATTTGGATAGGGTGCACATCTGAATCGTCCTTTGATTCAAAAGTTATTCGCCGTCATTATTTATTCTTAGACTTTGAAGTAGCCCATTTAAAGTAGCCGCAGTTTGCTTCAGGATTAGATGCAGGGCCCTGTAAAGAGGAAAACATGTTAGCATTCACCACTTGGTGCATATGGCACAGATTGTGAAATGAAAGACCACGGAGACATGGATGAAAACAAATTATTAAACTGCCAGCAATTGTGGCTATAACGTAACTCATTGCAGACACGACATCGGTAGCTCATTAGACGTTGGAAGGTAATCCCTCCCTAAAACAAGTGTTGGGCTGCTTATTACTTTATAATTGGATGGTGCAACTGTGCTAGTCATTAAGTTAAGAGTAAAACCTTTTTTTTCCCCCTAAGCTGTGAGCCATGATTTCCCATCAGCACCATAACCAAAAGAACAATTGGAACTACAGATAGCAAAAGTTGCTCTATTGAGCAAATAAGCGTGACGATATTGCTCTTATAATTCAGGCGAACGGACTTTACAACTTTTATATGATAGTAAGAAATACTTGGTGGAAATAGTTGAAAGCAACAAAACCAAAAACAGAAAATAGTAAAAACATAAAATTCAGATATGAATTGTGCAACCCTTACGGAGCTGCAGGATTGAAAATATTTGATTATAAAACAAATGAGTCATATCCTCATAAGAATCACAGTGCTGCAGTGCAAAAGAATAATTTTCAGAGACAAAAGTACAAATATACAAAGACACTTAACAGAAACAGATTACCTCAGCACGGGCACAAACATAGAATCTGCGACCAAAATTAGCTCCTTGTTTCTTTACCACCCGAGCAATACAAGGTTCCTTATGTCCCTTGCAAAGAGGTATACTGTTCTGCATCAATTTTTGTATTCTTTGCCACTCTTGTGAAGCTACATTACTCTTCTCTTCTTTTCTAGAACTATCATTTAGTTCAGCTAAATCCTGATCATATGCTGCATTCGCCTCATCTTGCACAGGACTGCTACTGTGATCAAACACTGTAGAATTTTCAAGTGATTGAGAGTTGGGTTGTGAGGGTTCTGCCTGACTATTTGATAAACCAATACAGGAGTCCTTGATACCATTGTCAAGATTTGTGCTTTTCTGAAAAAATGACCTAAGTGAGAGCTGAGACGATTGACTGTTTCTACTCTTTTTCTTGGATTCATTGCATTTCTGAATTTTTGATTTTTTATATACACTTCCTAATTTAGAAACAGTCTCCAGAGAAGAACCCGTGGAAAGTTTATTTGGTTCTAAAATGCTCCCTTCTGAATCATTGTTTGGAAGAAAATCACATTCACGGATAGATGAACTAATTATGTCAACTGGTTCTTCTATTCTCTCAGAAGTACTGACCACTGAAATGTCACTGTGTGCCATCTTGCACGAATCAGAAACCCGTCTTTTCATCAACAATGACACTGCAATACAAAGCTTAGAAACATTTAACTATTGATATCTTGTATACAAAAACTTGCCCCTAAGATTAAACAATGTTTTGGTACCTAGAGTTTGCTGGACGCCATGAATCATGGGAACATATCTAGCAGATAAGGAGGGAGTACTATGCAGAGAGACCTCGGGAATTTCCATCAAAGTCAAAATAACTGGAGCATGATCGGATCCTTCAAGCTTAACACTCTTTCCTCCCTTCCGCATGTGGGCACTGCGGATCAACATGTCAAAGTCAAGAGCTACTCCCTCTGTCCCAAAATAATTCTCGCTTTTAATTTCCAATGCAAATTTCATTTTCTTCTTCCAATTGTACCCTTCAATTAATACTACCTACATCACTCTTAATTTACTATTCTCTCACTTAAGATTTATGATCATTAGAATACACCAATAGTTAACAAGGATGAACTGGTAAAATTTATATTCTCTCTCTTTCATTTGTCACACTTTCTTAATCTGTGTGAAATACTCAAATGCGACACTTAATTTGGGACGGAGGAAGTATATCCTAGCATCCAGGAAGACATGCAGCATAGAATTGAGAAAATCTTTAACCAATTGACGCAGTAGTGGTGAAAAACCTCACTAGGAGTTAGAAACGACTGGTATAAAACGTTTTTGGAAAATTTCATAAATATGCAATGTGAAATGATGTATTCCACAACATTGGACATGTTATGGTATGACCAAAAAAAGTCATCCATACATGTTCATATTTCAAAGACAATGTAGCTTGCAATAATATATTCATTCAATATCCCTCCATTCCACCAAAAACAAAATATATTCATTCAATCTTCAACATTTGCAAGTTACCTCGGTGTGCTTTCTGGTTTGAACCGTTTGTACTGTGTCATGATTTCACATTCTTTAACATGGCATCTTATAAAACTATGACATTGCAGGTCATCTAATATATGTAAGCACGAACCAGCACATAGAATATGATCGATTCTACTCCCATAGTTAAATACTTCAGCACCCGTACTTTGAGACCAACAGGTGAATGCATCCCTTCTGCATAAAACTCAATATGTGCAATTATGACTTAACCATATTGATAATGATGATATTGAAAACTTAGACATAGTGTTGAAAACACAAATGAAGGAAGAACAAAAAACATGGAGGATGTGCATGTAACACAAGCCAAGTGCACGTTAGGTAACCCAAGCGTCCTTACTTATCAGGATATTTTGCTCGAAAGACATCAGAAAAGTGGCCTCCATTTTCAATTAACATCGATCTGAACCATCTTCTAAACCTGCACAAGAATTCAGCCAAAGAGTTAAGATGATTGATCGTTCACTCGACATTAAAGATACTATACAGGAATCTGGCAGTCAGCTCACTCATTATTGTCAAAATCAGGCCCTGCATCACACCTATCAATTGCAAATGGTGCAATATTGAGATCACCAACAACAAAGATTCTCCTTCCTTGATGCAGGAGAGACTCCAATCTTTTCTATCAAATAGACTACCAACATCAATCAAACAGAAAAGCAAACAAAATAAAAGTGAAAATTTTGAAAAATAGAGACATCAAAGGCAAGAACATAAACTATGATATTAGCATATCCCAATTTTAAGAAAATAAATGGCGTTTCCTGAAGTTGACACTTCAATATTCATTGAATTGTGCTGATTTACGGGAAAAAGAAAGTAAGTAATAATAAAGCAAGTTTTATACATTAGCTTTAGAGTTTCTAAAACCCCAAAAGATATTCTGATGGATAAACTGTTTTCAGATTACATTTTGTCAGATAAATGATACAACTAAATAAACCATTATAAACATTAAGAAGTTTGTAGAATTTCAAATTTTAGTTCCAAATCCACATAAGAACAAAAGCTGTAGGTAAACTTTATAGCATAAAAAGTATTCTGCAAAGTAATGATTTTCCATCATATACCTGCAGTATCCTGTAGAATATTTGTTTAAACTGAATCCTCTCTGTGTCATCACTTCCAGCTCGAGGCCCATAAATATTGAAAAGAACTATATTGATGCAAACACAACTAAGTCAAAACATCTATACCTTTCTTCAAATAAAAAAGAAAGTTAAAAGATCGATACAAACAAAATATGTATCATTCTTTCTAGTCACACGCACCAAAGTGACCATGATCAGTGACAACGCATCGCCCTTCACTATCAACACTGAAAAGCTCGTCTTTTGAAAAATCCTCAAGATCTTCTACGAAGAGTGGCAATTTATCTTCACTAGTTTGAGAGTTACACATTAGGCCAGTGAACCCTTCTTCAGCTGCCAAGGGCAATGCTGCTTCAGTACTCGAAAAAGCAGACTTTACTCGACAAAATGTAATTACACCTACATCTCAAATCAAATTTATTGCTCAAACATTAGTACAGTGTAGACTAGAGTTTTCATTTCCACAAACAAACACTTAGGTTAACACATAAAAGCATAACAACAATTTTTTTGCAGCATATTTAATAATTTTATTTGAATTTGAATGTTGGAATTCTGTTACAATAAACATGTTATGTTTGGTTGGGGCAATGTATCAAACAGCTTACCGGAATAACCGGTTCGGCCTTTCTGAGAAGTTCGGGTACAAGAAAAGAACGATTCGTATCCATCTACCATAACCAAATCCGCTGTAACATCTTGTCTGCTAAGTTTTGTCTCCTGCAAGAACGTGTGAGTGTTGTTGTGATAGAGGAAAATGGAAGGAGGAAAGGAAAATAGGATTTGGAAGAGAACCTGAAAGCAAATAATATCAGCGTCGAATGAATTGAGAAGATTGCGGAGAGAACCGAACTGAGATATGCGTTGTCTCAAACCGTTTACGTTGTAAGTTACTATCTTCATGCTCTCTCCCATCACAGGTTTTCTCCCCCACGGCTGTCTATGTTATTGCAGCACCTTTTGTTGTGAGAGCAAAAAGGAAAACTTTTATGATTTTTAAATCTACAATTTTTTAGATTAATATAACAAAAAAAATATTATAGATAGAGTAACAACCCTACGGGTGTATTTGCTATTCATAAAACGAAAGTACGGTGAGTTGAGCCGAGTGAAATAGAATAAAGTGGAATGAAGATTTAGGTTGAGAATTAGAAATTATTGGTAAATATGAGATGTATCTTGAATTAGTGGAACAAGTTGTTTCAGAACAATAGAGAAGGAACAAGTTTCAATGCTATAGAGTAAAGACTAATTTGCAACTCTAACGATCAAGTTAGTGAGAAAATAATGATGAGTAATTTGAGTAAAAAGCAAGTTAAAATCCTACATTTTCCTTCCCAAAGTGCCTTATATATGAAAGTTGATTGAGGTGTCCATGGCCTGGATCAAATACATGGCTTTTTTTATTGGGAATTTGGTCGGTCCAAAACAGTTGTTCTGAAGGCTTTTCGTAGCATAGCAGCGGGAAGTCTTCTAGAAAATTGGGTTGTATTCCTCGTACCGGAGTCGCTGCTTGGAGAAGTGGAAAAAGTTTGGTAGTTGTCGTGAATAATTTAGGAAACATGTGTATTAAATATTAGTCTCATCATTGAGATGTTTTGTACGATATTTTTGACATGTGGCCCTAGGCTTCTAGACTAAGGCGTGAACGTTTCCTCCTAAGATGCTCAAGTGCACTCAAATGTCATTGTATTCTCGAGGTGAAATCCAATTGTTATATTTCGTCTTCCATATATAAAGGTCGCTTAGTATTTCAAACATTCTTTTCACTCTTTGTGCACACTGTAAGTTTCTTCTCTTCTAGAAACTTTTGATTTTCTCCTTTGAGCTCTGACGACATCCATTTTATCAGTCTCTTTTCTTCTTTAGAGCCTACATTTCCTGGTTCATCGCAACATCTGAGTCATATCTCTATAAATGTTACCTCCATTTTCGACTCCTTCAAATACCATCTCTCTCTCTCTCTTTCTTGTTTACCGTTCATTCTCCTTTTCATTGTTTTAGTTATGGCCAACATAGAAGACACGCCTACAAATATAATAGATATACACGGTAGTGATGATGCTTCTTCTACCGTTAAAAATGGTAGTGAAGCTTCTAGTTCTCATCGTGTCGGGAGTACAAACGATTTCTCCGAAAAGGGCGAAGGAATGAACCATGGTAGTCTCGTTTTTATGGGTACGGATGTCCCTAACTTGCCTCCTATACGGACTTCTATATATTTGAAACCTGTTGAGGTTACCCCAAATGAATGAAGGACCGATGTACCTTAAAAAAAAAAGTCTTCACTTGAATGGTCGTTTGACCACAATTTTGACTTCAAAGAGATGACTTAATCTTCAAGGGCATCTTTAAGAGAATAGTTTGATTCAAGAGGTTATCTAGATAAAACATTTAATTGCTTGATACATCTTCAACATATAATAACTTCATTAGATATCATTTAGTATCAAATGTTGTCATTGTAACACCTCATTCTAACCCAACAGATAAACAAGAAATTAACAATCAGAGTGCACGAAAAAATGGCTAAGTGACGATCGTGATGGAACCGTCACGATCGTGATGGTCATGACGATCGTGATGGAGTGGTAACGGTCGTCACACTCACAAAAACTGGGCGTCACATTTTCAACTTAAACAGACCACACACACCTGCAACACCATCATTTAGTAACATACATAGCATAGAATCGGATGAACAGACAACGATAATTTTCTTAGCATCTCAATTACAAGACAACCTGTTATTTTGCAGCGGAATTTAATACACTTCCAACATTTATAATAAACCAAAGCAAGACCAGAAAAGTCTGCAACTAAATTCCATTAAAATTCAGCAAGTAATTATCTTGCATCAATTCACAAAAACAACTAGTTCTCGACCATGAAATCAGTCCTATCGATTCATCGGTCTAGTGCGTACAACCAACATTTGGCACTATCAGAAGCAATCAATCTAAAGAAAAGTACTTAATAAAATGCGGCAACAAAGAAAACAATTAAAAACAATAACATTAATCGTTCGTCCCCCCAAGAATGTTACGTATCAGAGCGATCAACGGCCTTAAACGAAAAGCGACACTCTATTTCGGGTTACCTGCAAATTACCACCAATGGAGGTAACATACAACGTAAAGGGTGAGATATCGAAATTATAACATAAGGCATGATAAAATTCATGTCAGGATCATATCACAACATTATAATTCTCGCAGTTCTCCAAATATTATCACAACGAACTACCAGGAAATTCATCATTCATATTCGCAACAATTAGCAAGAAAAATTCAGCAACTCATCATTACTTGCAAACACATAATGACGCGACACTATGCGACTCAACTATGCATATGCATGTGGTACCAATTTGGAGCAACACTCCACAACCAATTTATTTGCCATTATAGGCCGCCAATACAGGCACAACCAAGGATGATATGCTATGGGATGCATCTATTATGGACTACAACGCAACCACAACAACTACGCAACAAAGCATTAAGCCTACAACCAAATTGTCCATAACCGAAACATCGCAATTTCATACGCATCATATAACCAAAATTTTCACATCAAATCAAGTAAGAGCATAATAATAACATTCTCTCAACAAGTGAAGATTAGCGCGTGTCGGCATCGTTTCCAATTATTATTACACATAATTAATGACATAAAACACTAATTCAGGCACCGGCGAGCATTATCCCTAATATTATCAATTCGCGGAAATTAACCCCATGATTCAATTCCCGTCATGAAATTGATCATACCCATAGTTATAGAATTGAACCCCACCCTTACCTTTGAATTGAGGAAAACTCTAAACTCTCGGTTCCGGTTTGCTCTCCGGTGACTCTTCTGCAACTACCTTGAATTCTCTCCGGCGGTTAATTCCTCTGTTCTCAATTTCCCCCAGCCACGTTCCTTTTTCCTTTTTGCCCCTTCTCCTCAACCTTTTTCCTTAATTTTGGTTCTGAGCAGTTTATCGTGTTTTTCCTCTTTTCCCCCACAACTTCTCTAATAACTCCCCTATTTCACTTATTTCATTCACTAATAATAATAATAATAATATTACCACTAATTATTAAATTATCATCATCATTATTAATTATATTATATTATTATTAAACTCTATATTTTATTAAATGATTTCCTATACTTTAAGGACACCCACCAACGCTCTCAGACACACTCCCACATAAAGGCACACCAACAATTCATAAATAATTTAATTAAAAATGAATGGGCGTTACAACTCCCCCAAACTTAAAATAATTTCGTCCTCGAAATTACCTCGATCAAACAGCTCGAGGTAAGACTCTCGCATTTTGCTTTCCAGTTCCCACGTCAAGCTTTCACCGGCAGCTCCCAACCAGACCACTTTCACCAAAAAAATCTCTTTTCCTCTTAACATCTTCACCTCCCGATCATCAATTCTTACAGGCATTGTCTCCACCGTAAGATTGTCACATACTTGCACATCGTCCATAGGAATGACATGCGACGGATCTGAGATATACTTTTGGAGTTGCGACACATGAAATACATCGTGCAGATTCGACAACTTAGGCGGCAACGCCACTCGATATGCAACCTTTCCAACTCTGTCCGAGATCTGATACGGGACAATGAAGCGAGGGGTAATCTTCTTAGATTTCAAAGCTCTACCAACACCAGTCACAGGCGTGACTCTCAAGAATACATGATCTCCAACTTCAAATTCTAAATCCTTTTTGCGCTTATCATGATAAATTTTCTGCCTACTCTGCGAAGCTTTCATCTTTGCTCGAATTAACTTCACCTTATCAGTCGTCTCCCGAACGATCTCCGGTCCAAGTACCACACTCTCCCCCGATTCATACCAACACAACAGAGTCCTACACCTCCAACCATACAAAGCTTCGAACAGTGCCATTCCGATACTAGAGTGGTAACTGTTATTATAAGTAAACTCTATCAACGGAAGGTAGATATCCCATGAACCGCCTTCCTCCAGAACACATGCCCTCAGCAAATCTTCTAAAGACTGAATAGTCCGTTCGGTCTGACCATCTATTTGAGGATGGTATGCTGAACTCAACCTCAACTTGGAACCTAATGCCTCTTGCAGACTCTTCCAAAATTCAGAAGTAAACCTCGGATCTCTATCTGACACAATACACAACGGGATACCATGCAACTTAACAACCATTCTGACATAAATCTCTGCCAAATTCGATATTGGAAAAGTGATGTTAATAGGGATAAAGTGAGCTGACTTTGTAAGCCTATCAACAATCACCAAAATGGAATCACATCCTCTCAAGGTGTTCGGCAAACCCGTTACAAAATCCATCGAAATGTTGTCCCATTTCCATTCTGGAATCTCTAACGGTTGCATCAACCCAGCAGGTTTCTGGTGCTTAACTTTCGACTTCTGACAAGTCAAACATGTGTAAACAAATCGGGCTACATCACGCTTCATACCAGGCCACCAAAACAGATTCTTCAAATCACTATACATTTTCGTCGCTCCTGGATGAATACTCAACTTACTTCTGTGACCCTCTTCCAGAATCGCCTTCTTCATATTTGCACTATCAGGAATGCAAATACGACCATGAAATCTCAACACGCCTTGCGCATCTAACTGCTAATCATTATTTTCCGAATGATCCACCCCGGGCATTAAATCTACCAACTTTACATCTAATTTATGAGCTTCTCTGATGTTGTCCAGAAAGTCATTATTAATCTTTAACATGCCCAACTTTACACTCTTCGGTGTCACTTCGCAAACTAAGCTCAGATCTCTGAATTGCTCAATCAATTCAAACTCTTTGGCCATCATTGTTGACATATGCAAGGTCTTGTAGCTTAAGGCATCAGCTACAACATTGACCTTTCCCGGATGGTAGTTT